AGAGTCTGGAAAGAAGGGAAGGACGACGATGGAGCTTGATTAGCCTTGGTTGTCTCAGCATCGTCCTTCTCAGAGGAGTCAAGTACTATGACCTCCTCTTCTTCAGGGGTGAGGACGAAAGCCTCAACCTCTCTTGCGATATCTGCCGTGAAGCCTTCAGCACTTGACATCACGGCATCTTTATTTTCGTGCTCAGCAGCACTCTCCTTGATTTCTTCTTGGACCCCTCCCTTAGGTTCGGGAGTTCTCTGATCCACCTCCATCTCAGGAGGTGGCGGAGGGGTCTTTTGAGGAGATTGGGGTGTTGGCTGGGGAACCCTCGGCGATCCATTGCCTTCCTCAGGTTCCCTTAGTGCGACGCCGATGGTCATCGGCCTCTGCTGAAAATCATGAGGGCCGATGATGGCCATCCTTCGGCGCCTTTTCAGAAGGGGCTGCTCGTCCATATCTGAGTCTGAAGACTCTTGTATTTGATCTTCGGGACGAACAGGAGCTTTGCCTTCTCTGTGTCTGTTACTCTCTTCAGACTGTAACAGACAGGGGGGAAGAAGAGTGTGAGTAAAAAAAAAAAAAAAAAAAAAAAAAAAAAAAAGAAGAAAAGAAAAAAGTTGTCTGAAAACTCACCGAGGTTTTCAGCAAAGCCTCGTCTTCTTCAGCTGCTCTAGCTGCAGCTTCGGCTTCAGCAGCTCTGGAGGACCCTTCTCCTCCTTCACAAGCCTCAAGTACCCGTGCAACCTCTTCGGCTGTGCGGGCAGCTTCAGCTTCTTCGTTCAGCAGCTGAAACCAAGGGTCTCTCTTCTTCCACCAAGGCTTCTGCCTCTGATACAGAGCAACAGCCTCAATTTGGAAGTGGGAAGAATCCAGATGAACTTCCCTATGCCTCGGCTCAGTGATAGACGGGGCCCGTTCAGTTACAACTCGCTCTCGGTTAACACCAAGACGAGCGTAGTTAATACCAACGTTGGTCTCGTCCCGCTCTGAAAAAAGGAAAAGGGAAAAAGTTTAGCTCAGATATGTTGGCACAGCATAAAAAAGCAAAGCGAGAGAAGAAAAAGAGGTAGTTAAAAGCCTCGGCCCCAGCCGAAGAAGCTTACCATCCTTAAACTTTCGGCTGAGGCCAACAGCTGCTAGCATATTCTCTTGGAAAACGTAATGCGTATCGGGGAGCCAAGTCTCCGGGATATGCTGCATTCGACCACTCCCCCCCGGGTTCGGCAGCTTGCCGAAGATATGTTGCTGATCCAGGTTCGGATCCGCCCCGTTATCTGCGGGGGGACCTAGACTTCCCATTTCGGGATCAGGCTCAGCTAAGTACCGGGGAGCGCTGAAGACGCAAGGGTGGCCCGGATCTATGGGTGCCCTAACCCAAATCCATTGACCTCTCCAGTCCTTGTCTGAAGAGTCATTTGGCCACATGGTCAAGTATTGGGGCCGGGACTCAATCCGATACCACCCAGAACCATGGCTTCCGTGCCCACTCTGAATATTTGGCACTAGCCGATGGAGCTTTCTGAAGCAGTGCAGGTTCGGCACGTATTTGAAGAACTTGCAGACCCATAAGTATGTCATCACCCTTCGGATGCTGGTGGGGGTTAGCTGACATAGGGAAATGTTGTAATGGATCAGCAAGTCTCGGACGAAAACGTCCAAAGGGAACCTCAGCCCATACTGAAGCTGTCTCGTGTACACCCCCACATACCCCGGGGGTGGACGATGGATTCTATCGGATGCTGAGGGCATTCGGCACCAATATCCATCAGCTTCAAAAATGCCGTAGTGCAACTCAATTTGCTCAGCAAATCGATATTGATCGGCGTTCTCTACCCACCATGAGTAGGGGCGGTTCTTTATCATGGCCGAAGCGACTTCGGCATTCTCCCACTCTGAAAACCCAGGGAGGATATCCCAAAGGACAGCGGGAATTTCATCGTCCCGTCCAGAAGCACTCGGCTCATCCGTTCTTTGAGGAGGAGCCGAGGAAAGGGGAGTCGCCCTAATCCCTTCAGCAGGGTCAGACTCCGGCCTTTGACCATTCCAGGTCCCAATCCTATTCCTAGGATCGGGAATCGGCCTTGCTCTTCTTGGAGCACGGGCTCTACCTCTAACTCCTCTTGCCATGGATTATTTCGAAGAGAAAAGTCGAAAGAAAAGGGGAAGGAGTTCGAATTCGAAGAAAAATAAACTGAAATCAAAGGAATTTACCTTAATCTGAAGCGAAAGTTGCCGATTTACGAGTTCGTAGTGGCAAGTCTCAGTTTCTAAGCTCAATGCTCGGGGGAATTTGCGAAGTTTTGATGCGGGTTCTTGGTTTCTCTCTCGAAGAATTCTGGGTTTGTGTTGGTGAATAAGTGAGGAGAATGACGCGCCTCTGTTTATATCTCCAGGTACGGGATACGAAGAGTCTGTGCTTTAATTTCTCTTAAGTACCCACTAAGTAACCATTAAACACATGTCTTGTGATTAAACCGCCCATTATCCGTCCAACTTCCGCAAATCATTAACCGTTGTTATCTCATTAATTACGGTTTAAATTCAAATTTTTGGATCAATTAAATCATTTACTTCCCTCCTTTTCTGAGTTAAATCAAACCCGACCCGTCATTCTTCCAAATCGGGTCTGGGGGGCAAGTTGTTTGGGTCCAATTTAGTCAAAATTGGGCCTGAGCACTAAATGATCCAATTAAAAGCCCAAGGTCAAGGTTCAACTCTCCAATTGCTCAAAAGTCAAAAGTCAGCCCACAAAGTAAGCCAATTGGGCTAAAGCCCAACCTCTCCAAGTATGATGAGGTATAAAAGCCCTCATATTAACACATTCAAGGGAGATCACATACGAGATCACATACATTATCTCATACACTGATTATTCCAACTCATATGCTCATCCTTGCATTGAGAAATACTCCACAAAAGCCTCAAGCTACAAACTCTCTTGCATAGTGTCTTCCTTTTTACACATTGTACTGACTTTAGCATCGGAGGGGCCTTCCTCGGAAACACCCCCGAGGCTAGTTTACGTGTGTTCACTGTGCAGGAAACCTTCGGCCCAACACAGCTTGGATCGAATCCAGTCTTCTCCATTTCAGTGGACCTTCGGCAAGGTCCCATTGTTTTCAACCGAAACACGTTCATCGTACATATATAAAGACAAAAACATGTAAGAGAGTACTTGGTACGGGGTATGATAGAAAGTTCCATGTTATTTTACAACTATTCCGTATGACTGTATGAGTTAATGACCTTATTAATGAAATTTGGGTTTACAATATAAATGAGCGATGTTGGACTTTTCTATTGGGCCAATAAGGGTTATCCAACTTTCTTGGGCCAAATCCAAAACAGAAATTTCAACAGAAAACGCCGCGAATAAAGGATAACCAGAGAGGATGATGGCTAAGTCGGGGTTCTATCAAATTAATACAACCAGGACCAGCAAAATTCTCAAACCAAAACTTCAAGGACCAACTGTCCAACCCCTCATAAATATTTATACGAGTAATTGATTAATTTTGTTCTATCTTCGTTACTTAATTTCATTGATGATATATTATGATACTCAATCATGAATAATTACATTTTGCTAGTCTTTCAAGTTATATTATACAGAAGGTAAGTCATTTGACATTAAAGTGATATGTATCCCATAATCAGTCTGAATTGCAGAATTCTTACCCAAATTGTAATTGATATAACATCGACACTTACATAGTTATACATCCAAATTCCAACCACAATTTTATTTTTTTTATTTTTTTGAATTTTTTCTCGAATAAAACCAATAAAACGTGAACAGCATAACTCATCTCCTATCGATAAAAACATGTTGAATTGGCCTAAAATGAAATCCATCCAAATTTCCTATATGCTACCTCTACAACTCTTCTTTAGAAGTTGAGGTGTTTCCAATGAAAATATCAATCCACAAAATCTTACATTCAAAACACAGCAATATTATACTATAGATTCAACGATGCTAATATAGCACATGTATATAGCAAATAGCTATCATCAATTCATCACCCAACTGGAAGCTTTAACTAGTTAAACTACATCATCAATGTCACATTCTGAGAGTGAGGGATAGCTCAAGTGGTTAGTGTTCCCCTTTCGGTTTCAAGTGATTCTGGAATCGATTCTCATCACTCACCTTTGTGGCTCTCTAAAACACCAAAAAAAAAAAAAAAAAATCAATGTCACATTCTCACATTAACAGTTCTACTCTATAGTCCATATTTATACAACTATAAAAGTACTCAATCCCCGTCTCTTAAATAATGTCTCCCTTTTAAATTTGTCCCCATTAATTTTAGTTCAGAAGATTTATATACCTATAATACTCTTTTCTTTATACAATCTAATATTTCATACTTCCTTCATTTTAGTAATATTGCAACAACTGGACTTTTACATTATTTATTATGCTTGTTTAACCACAAATTATGATTTATATGTAAAGTAAAATATAGTCATGTGGGGTCTTGTTAGATTCGTCTCGTAAATACTTTCACAATATCGACTTTTTATAATTTTTACTCTTATATAATTATAGATATTTAACATATAAAATGTATTTTGGGATGCATAATTTCATCCTTGTTGTAATATTTGTGGATCCGAGAAAGTACAATTCTTCCAAAAAAAAAATACAGGGTATAAATATAAAGCAAACATTAAGAGAAGAATTAAGTACAAAGTAGAGTATATGATTAGGCGATACAAAAAAATGATACGAGTAGCTTTTAAATTGTGCACGAGTATTACGCAAAAGAGCTCATCAACTGCATCACCACCTAGATAGCCGCCAACTAGAAGGCGGCTAGTCAAAGACTCAACTCTAATGGCCCACCGACAACACATGAAGCCAAAAAAGCCACGTGTTAAACAACTATACAATACATATAATAATATTTCACGCCTTTTATGAAATGAAATAGTAAATTATAAAAATAAAAATATGGAATAATATATTGTACAGTCCTATAATAAGGTCAAGCACTATGATATTGACCGCTCACCTTCTCAAACACGTTCCATTAATAATAGCAGCTGCCCGCCTTTATAATAGAAGTATAAGTCATAATTCATAAAAACCTTGAATTTTGTTCAGACTTCAAAATCCCATATATTTACTCCTGTCTTCTCTTGTTCGTCAACTTTTACCAATCATATACTACTCTTAGACTAGCAATATAGAAGAAGAAGGTATGAAACATCAAGAGCACAAATCAGAAGATCACTGTGATCTTCACTCAGTCCACAAATCCTCCGCGAAAATCATGAAGGTGAAACCATTATCAGCATTAGGACCCTCAGGTCCTCCACAACCAAAGGTTTATAAGGTTAAGCCTATCCATTTCCGAGAACTTGTTCAGAAGCTCACTGGAGCACAACCTGAACTGCTACAACAGCCTACGTCTTACTCTCGGCCTCAAGCTCGTCCTAGGCGTAGTAACCTACAGGTTGTTGCTCCACCTCCTCTGCCACTTCATCCTCATCAACTTCAACTTAACAGCCAAACTGATCTAACGAGCTTTTCAGAGAAGCAAGTGCCATGCAAAGTAGAGCAAGACCAGAAACCTTTCTCAGAAAAGACGATGCAAAATGGTGTGGGTACAACTGAACTCATCCTATCCCCGAATTTTCAGGCTTGGTTTTCTTTTGCTATGTTAAGTCCTGGGTCAGCTGCTCTATCTCAGATATAGCAATGATCATTCATTGAAAAATATTAATGTATTTATATACTTTTAGGTTACGTTTTTGCAGCTATTTTCACTTTTCCAAGGGCCTGGTGTACTTTTAATCTTTTATTCAAGCCGGAAAGTTAACCCTACTGTTTTCGTAAAACCCTTCATTGTTTACTTGTCTAGTTAGCTTACATCAGAAAATCAATACAATTTCCTGTATCAAATTCAGCTGAATACAACTCAGAATTTGAAACGAAGACTAAACATTCATTGAATTCCTCTTATCTATACTTGATATTGACTAACACTTAATGTTTAACTTATCGGCCTGAACTAGTCTTTGTTCAGCTTGGATAGCCTGAATATGAGCTTACTGCTCCTCATTTTTCTGAATTATTTTTTTTTATAATGTGAAAAGAACAAAAGCCAAATGTAGACAAGATGTATGATTCACACCTTTAATAATGACTTTTAAAACGGCAAAAAATAATTGGTCAACTAATAGTTACTTAAGATAGCAATTTTGCCTGTTCTGTTATAATATAGTGCTAATAATACGGTACTTATTAAGTCTCTGACCAAGAATAAACAGTTAGTAAACGTAAAGAAAGAGTTTACTTTAATTAACAGGAAACCTAGTAAGAAATAAAATGAGAGGTCTGAATCTCCAAGTTAGGTCCCATTTAGACTTGCAACCATAACGAGAAATTTGGGTATTGGTCAACTACCTAAATATCTCTCGCAATTGGAACACGCAAGCTACCAAGATATGAAGACATTTCCACATTTCACACCTTATATTTGAAAATAGTTTTTTTGGTTTAAAGCAAACAGGGAGGGCATTTTTCAATTAATTCACTTGATCGCTTTTTCAACAAGTTTACTAGCAAAGTGAAAAAGCTATATTAAACAACTACGCATTTTATTTTATCTACAGATAAAGAGGGCATCATCAAATTCATCTAGTGGAAATCAGTATAATATCATGTACCATTCAGCTCTACAGATAATTTTCAAAGGAAGAAAATACCAGACCTTGTTTAGAGCTTCAGTCTCCGATGTCTGCATGCTGATAAGTGATAATCACTCTCCTTAGTTGTGATGTCATGTAATATGATATGCAAAGGAAAAGACACCCTCCAAGAATCCAAGTCTTAGCAAATATATGTTCCAAAACCAGTTCTGCCATACCAATGCAACACAAAAAGTCACTGTCAGAAACAAAGCTTTAGATTTTTATTCTTATTAGTGAAACCATCCTGACAAGATAAAGCACATACGAGTGCCACATACCTTATTATCCCAATAGTTTCTTAGTTTTGAGCCCATTACACTGTGGAATATATTGGTGATAGATGTTGCTAGTGAGTAGTGACAGGCCATTGAGAGTGTTGCTTGTAGTTTTCTATGATCAACTAGAAACTTCATCATGTCTTATGCTTTTTTCTCCTTCTATGAGTTTTGTCTTACCACACGTGGTGAAGACAAAGGTTAAAGGTATCTGATAGACGCAAACAAAATAGCAAATAACGGATAATCAGTAACCCGTTAGTCTAAGTCTCAGTCAATTCTCATTATATTACATATGATTATCATGAAAATAGCAAACAAATGTTGCTCAGTTTGATACATTATTGTGTCCAAGGACAATCATCTTCCTGTGGGGGAAAACTTGCACTAACCACTTAACTAGTGTAGCAAATTAAAGATAAATCCATTCAAACAACTTCAGAGGCCCTATAAAAAACTACTCAATCACAATAACTTAATTCGTAAATGCAGTTTCATTGAATTTCACATAAATTAAGTGCTACGAAATAGATAACAAAGCGGCAACAAATTATGAAATCGCATCATAGATTACTCTCAATGTATAAGGGCAAAACCCTAGATTATAAATAAAATTACAGGAATGTAACCATATTTAGGCAATTCAATAACATACCAACCTAAATTCCCAGAAAAATGGATAGTAAACTGGTGGTTCTCACTGAGGAATTAGAACAAACAGCTGGTGTGCATGACCCGCATAAGATTTCAGATGAACAATGCGTATTAGTGGAGGGGGAGGTTTTAAGAGATCGAGAAAATGGGATTTGCAGAAGGAGGGAAAGGAAGAAGGAGAGGGATTTGAAAAATATAGGGTAAGCAAAAGAGATTTGAGAGATGAAGACGAATTCTAAGCGGCTTTTTCTTTAACCGCCATTTTTGGAAGGTTTTAATTTCTGTATCAGGTAATACAAGTTTATCCCGAGAGTCCCAATTTATCACTTTGATAAACAAGTTTGTTCTTCACCAACAAAAAAAAATTAAATAAATAAACAAAGTTCGTATCTTCCATAAATGAAAAAAAATGTTTAACCTACTTTTGTATCTTGTCAAAAATAAATAAACACTTCTCAAAAACGGTCGTTTTTTTAATGCTTGACAAATTTTTTAATTTTTTTTACACATCCATTGACAAATTTAGAAAACCCACACACATTAAATCTTTATTTCTTTCTTCTTCTTTTGACCCCACCATTATTTTATTTCTCTCTCTCACTTTATACATAGTGGTCCCTTATTTATATATCTCTTTCATACTTTTCCAAATTTTTTTATTCCTAACTATCATCCCAATGGGACACTACGGAGTACATCAGCAACCGTGGGCCTAATTTTAATTAAAATGTTGTTGATTTATTTACAATTTTGTCATTTATTAAGATAATAAACTTGTATTTTCTCGTTTATTTCTAATATTGAATGTAAAACAAGTAAACAACTATATAATGAAAATATGACATCTAAAGGGTGTGGGAATGGGAAGAGGAAAAAAAAAATACATTAAAAGAGGAATCAAAGGTGTACATTGTTTACATGTAATCAGGGGCTAGTTAGCTAATGTAACCTCATAAGTTAAATGAATTCTCACTTTTTCAACGCCAAATTATAAGAAAATATATAATGATATACGGAGTACTCCGTGATAGGTATTCAATATATACTCTCTCTATTTCATGATACAATATCTATGCATGGTCTACAAAACATAATTTTGACCATTGATATTCTTAATTGCGTATTGATAAAAATATATAAAAATAAAAAATTAATCTCATAAAATTACAAATTCAGATGAAACTATCAATATCTCTAGGGAAAAAAATCAATTTTTTTATAGTTTGACTATATGAAATGACCATTATATTACGAAATAAGGGGAGTAACAAATTACTTATGACAAATCTAACATTGTGACGTGTTACTGTCTTAGAAGCAAAATTCGCCCCTACTATGGTGCTATTAGAGATGTCGTTGCCCCCCAAAGAAAACTGAAAATAATAGAGGAAGAAGAAGAAAGAGTTATGTGCACACCACACCGCGCACGTGCCATGAACACGAACCGGCCAAACGGCGACGACGCGTGTGGGGATGCCCCCTTCTAGCCCACAACAATAGGGAAAGCACTTCAAATATGAAAGTATAAACACACATATTTAAACCAAGTAAAATTTACTTCTCCCGCCTATGTGGGACAAAACCCCTTTTCTTCCAATATATAAACCAAATAAAGTCTTCCTAATCCCACCAATGTGGGACAAAGAGTTTTCCTCCAAAACTAATAAAAACTTCCCAAAACTAATAAAAACTTCCTTAGCAGTATTTCCAACAATAAATGTGGAATTATGGTTGCATGATATATAATATAATGGTATCTATCATAGGTTTTCAAAATCAATTTGAGTAATACGTATAGTACAATTGTACCATTAATTTCTGATATGAAACGAAGTAGCAGTCAATTTTAAACAAATCTAAGAGAAATAATCAAAATGAAAGATATATTGAAGCAAACAAATCAAATTAAGAAAGCGATATACATACTTCAAATTGACATAAAACATTTTCTACATATCACTTTCAAAATATACGTCTTGTAATTACAGACATATAGTGTATTTTTTGGCAAAAATTAATCATTTATTGATATGAATATCACTTTTAAAAAAAAAAACACTATAAAAAAATCAACATAATAGCACTATGCGTTTGTCATACAATGCATCCTTCCTTGGTTCGAACATACTTTTCAATACTTCAAGTTGGTAGTCATAGTCTTATACTACGGTACTACTTATCAAAATATTGAATCTTGATCCACAAATTTTATTTCAGCTTCATAGTGTATTTAGTCTTCTTATATTGTCTTCTACTCCGTACTAGTATTAATGGAATGGATTTATATCATAAATTCATAACATGTGTATGAACAAATTAGACTTCTAATTTTTATCAAAACGCTGAATTTACAAATAAGCAAAATTTTCATGTTAATTACTTCAGTTGGACACATAATTTTACAATTAAGTTTAAAATTTACTTCGTATCTATCAATTATTTAGCTTTGAAAAATCACTCTATCGTGCAATTTGGGAAGTACTCGTCAATGAAAATGTATTTGGAATATGCATGAATATTTCTACTTCCTCTGAATATTTTACAAAGAAATAAAACAAAGAGGTGGTGGCCAATGAGAAAGCAGACTTTGATGTCATCATGTCGTGTTTTTATCACGAGGGGGGTTCTCTTAACAAGCTAGATTCAAGGTACCACGACTTAACAAGATTTTATGAACAATGAACATCTGCCAACTTGCGTCCAACCTCGTAACTATAAATCGAATTCCTAGTGGGTGATTTAGAAAATATTTAATATTAGAAAAATAAATTATCATAAATTTACACAATAAATAAGTGTTATTCTAGAAAATACATGCCATAATTTTTACAATTGTCTTGTCTTAAAATTATACATGATTACATGCTACGTAGTATGGAATACGAATTAAAATATACACACGTAATTTTTTACTTATATAACATCACAACGGTGAATTTTGCTACCATATGTTAGTTTAAATTATTACAGTTGTTCTTAGGGCTTCCATTCAAATCTTATATGTAGTATGAAGTAACAGTTTTCCTTTTGTACAATCCTTCCAGCATAGGGTGAGTAGTGTCAAGCCATATATTCAAGAGCTAAAACAAGCTTAATGACAAAGCTTACATCATCTAATCCATAATTTTTCCTTTTTTTTTTTTAAATATACATTAATAATTTAATTGACATTGCTAAGTGCTAACTGCCATATGTAGATTTCTTACTTTTTGCCATTTCAAAAACAAGATCTTGTTTTATTTAGTTATTTTGACTAACTGCGGACAAGCTACTGAGATAGTTCATGTAATTTCTTATATCAATAACACAATATTAAACAGACACCAGGAATGACACGTGTCACTTCCTGATGCTGTTTTTTCCTTCCAAAATTAACTTTTTTTTTTTATTCGTCAAATCTTTTTCAAATTATATTTAGAATATTAGTGTTATATAACCTTCCTGTTTGACATCATACTTTTTTCATACAAAAAAAAAAAATCACGTCATTTATATTATAGCAAATATCTTAATTTATCACCAAAATATTTTTTTTAGAACATATAATATACTCTTTCCAGTTTGACAATCATATTTTTTCCATACACTCAACTAGAATATTTTTGCATATCTTTAAAATATTTTCCATATACACTCAACAAGTATATCTTTTATTTTTCACACTTAAATTAACAGTAGTATTAATAATAGCACGGGTATTAAACTAGATTTTTATTTTGTTAAATATAAAATCCCAAAGACCTTATTTATTATTTTTAAAAATTAAATCTTATGCTTCAATAGCCTTGACATTGGTATAAGTAAAAATAATAGCGTACCATTATTGTTGAATTAGTATTGCAAGTTGGTACATTATACTCCGTAAAATTTAGTAAATGTGCGTTGTACGGGACTTAATCTACTTATGATTAATAATGAGCTCAAAAAGTTAAGTAAAAATAAATACTATGTAATTATTTGTCATAAGACATTCAAAATTTCAAACTGCCCATCTCCTCTCTCTTTTCCATCATCTATCATCTCACCTCTTCTACAGTTGTTTTTTTGGCTGTTTAAACTGGTTATAGTCTAATTTCTTCATAATTAGATTATTTTTAACCCTTTATCTGTAATTTAATTCAAGCTTGTTGACTCTTCTTTACTGTGCTCTCTTCATCTATGAGGTTCTTCTTCTCAATTTTTTGAGTTTTCAATTCTAATTCATGAATGAGATATACCAGATTTTTAATAATTTAGGAAGGTAATTCAGAATCATATAAATTTAAGTAATGTCATCAAATTTACGTTTAAAACATCAAAAACTAATTGTTTACTTCAGATGATCAATAACACAAATATATTTACATTCAAAACTTCAGAGTAGCACCAAAAAAAAATTCCAAAGTAACAATAAGTTTGGACAAAATATTACCTCAATTTCAAATTATTTACTACGTACAATGATTTGACATAAAACATAAATAGTAAAAAACATCTCATCGTTACAAATAATTTTAAACGGAGGTTTTACGGAGTATGCAGTAGTTAGAAGACAAAAATAAGACAAGGTACTGCATTCCGGTTAAACAAATGAGGTAACCCGAAGTTGTTGCGATAATCCATCCCTTTTCAGTTAATCATCAACTGACGGTGCTAATTCTATCTCATCCTTCCCTTCTCTTTCACACACACTCTCCTTCCTCCTTTTTCTCTCATCCTCTGTAAAGCCATGTCATGGCTAACCTCCATCGCCAACTCTCTCAAGCTCGACGACTACGAAGAAGAAGATGATGCAACCACCACAAATTCCAGAGAAAATCAACCATTTCGACCTCAAAACCCTAACAATGGCGACGATCAACAAATCAACACTCGTAATACAGACTCCGCCGATTCATCCTCGCCGTCCGATCATCAAACCACCACTCCTCGAGGCGTCAAAGACGATCTCTCCGAGTTTTCCAAAACCCTAACTCGTCAACTTTGGGGCGTCGCCTCATTTCTCGCTCCTCCTCCTCCTTCTCAGATCTCTGATCGCGATCCGCAAATTGATGATTACGATCCCGATACCGGTGATCTTGCTGGAATTACTGGGATTCGTAACGATTTGTCGGAGATTGGCGGGAGATTTCGGTCCGGAATTTCGAAGTTATCGACTAATAAGGCGGTTTCTGAGTTTTCGAAGATCGCTTCGAATATACTGCAGTTTGCTTCGGAGGAGGATTTGTCGATTGAGGATTATGCTAAGCGAGGCGTTGTTGGTGCGACTGAAGAGGTTGTTGCGTTTGCTAGGGATGTTGCTATGCATCCTGAGACTTGGATTGATTTTCCTTTGCCTGATGATGATGAAGATGAAGGTACATTGAGTTATGCTTTCGTTTTCATTACGATATTGCTTACAAATTGCGGAATTGACAAATGTCAATTGTGTTATATTTTGGTTATGAAATTGATTTTTTTCAATGATGAATTGTGGATATACTTGTTATCAGAATACTAGTGCTATAGATGATTGAACAACTTGCTGATTAATATTGAATGTCATTTCATTCAATGATAGGCCTTGTTGCGAAGGACTATACTTTAGATGATTTATTAAATCTGTCGAGAAGAAGGTGTTATGCTAAAATTTGGCTATTGTTTCTGATTTTCTGGAAGGAGTGTATTATTGTTCTATTGAGAGTGGTTATCTAGAAGAAGTTGTTTCTAATGTGTGGAAGAATCGATTGTTTGAAAGTAATGTACTCACATTTGTTGCTCTATACTATTTAGTCTCATGCTCTCATTCTATGAAAAGTCGCATCTCTATTTTTCCCCAAGAGATCACGCTATGAGGATGAAGTAACCTGAATTGTCGAGTTCTATATTCAGAGCAAAAGCAACATTTTATCCTTTTTTTTTTTAGTTTTTTCCGTTCAGTATTTTGCTGCCCTGTTTCTACCTTTGTTCTACGTAATTTGCTTTACGGAAGGTTTGGGGTTTAGATTTCTAATGTTTTTTCTTTCTAGTTTGGGGTTAATTTTAATGTTTATTCTTTCTAGTGTATCTTGCAATTCATGATGTTTCCTCCTATTTTCAGATTTTGACTTGTCAGATGCTCAGCAAGAACATGCATTGGCTGTTGAACGTCTTGCACCTGAACTGGCTGCCCTTAGAACCGAACTTTGCTTGGGCTACATGAATGAAGGCTCTTTTTGGAAAATCTATTTTGTGCTCGTGCACCCTAGACTAAGCCGACAAGATGCTGAAATCTTGGCTACACCACAGGTAGGTTGTTATTTTTGTCATCAAATTCTTTAATAAGCTGCTGAGCTATTTACAATTTAACTGCAAGTCTGTGCATTATATGATTGTGAGCAATGGTGTTGATTCTTGAAATCAAATGCATTGAAATAAGGGCTTTAGGAAGCCAATTAGCCAGTTTGGGTATCTGCAGTCTAATCTAGTTATCTCGTGTTTGGTATTTAGTGAAGCATAAGTAATAATAGAATATGTAGGAACCTTAGACATGCTGACAATTGTCGTTTTTGATAGTGGAACAAGTTATGTGAACTGAAGACAAAGAAAGGGGGTTTTTAATCTAACTGATATTGAAACAAGAATATCATCTTATTGTATGGATTTTATATGTCTTAATTCTTATGGATCTTGGCTATCTTGCCTATTAGTATTTACAGGATCAAAACCATTTGGCCATTTGTACATCAATTAGGCATTGAGGGAGAGCCTGAGATCATTAAGTAGGGACAGGGAGTATTGGAGAAGGAGTTTGAGATCGAAGCCATGGTGTTTGGAAGTCTTGGGGCCAAAATTGTTGGAATGACTTGAGAAAATGAAGTTATTCATTATAAAGTTGTTCAAGAGGTAGCAATAGTGATTTAAACTGTTTGAAAAGGTAGTAATCTTCAACAATTTTTATGCTATGTAGAAAAAATAGTGACAGCTTATTTTATTAATTAGGTAGTAATTCACACACTTTTAGATAAATAAAGACAGGGAGACCCATCTTGGAGAGTGGTGGAAAGTCCACAGCTCTGTGTTAAATAAGGACAAATTTCTTCCCTACTTATCATGCGACTTTGGTAACGGAAGTATGCTTCTTAAGCCATTTTGAAGGCCAAAATTGAACTATTGATTTGATTATTTAAAAAATATGGGCAATGACATGCAAGCTGCAAAGTGTTTACAGAGACTTTTCCGTACCTGCAGTGAAATGTCAACAAAAAAGGCATCCCATGCCCGTGATTGCCTTATGTTTATACAGATCAGTATGGTATTGTCCAGATGTATTCCCTCGATAAAAGCCATTTTTCATTCCCAGCAGACCAAATCTAGCAAAATTGTGAACATCTCTAGGGCTGAATTGGAGAGAACACTTGTCTTTGCAAAGGTTACAACTTACAAGGGATATAGGATATGTGACTAATTGCCTATGAGAGCCCTTAAATATTCCTTTGTGAACCACTTACCCCTAGGAGGAATTTATTGAATGTTTGAGATTTTTTCTAAGTGAGTCCTGCTGCTCTATGTGCTAGATTTTGTCTTAATTTACATTCTTTGTATTGTTTCAAGCTATGAAAGATTATCTCATATGGTACTTGCCGTTGGATTTAATTTTTTTAATTTTATTTGGCATATTCCAGATACATAGCACAATTTTATCTTATTGAGATATTAAGGCTTTGGTGGTAGTGATTATTGTTTGAATACTGTTTATCTGTTGCATGCGTTGGAATAGTTTGCTTTGTTTCATCCGCTTTTGGTTGTTGTCTCTTGATTGAAAGTTCTATCTTTCCTATTGATTTTTTTGGAACACCAAGTTGATTCCATTAGTTGAACTCTTCATTACACTTTCCTTCACAGACTACTGTGTGTTACTGTCATACTGATCTTCACCCTGTTTCTGCAGATTATGAGAGCCAGAGCAATGCTAACCCAAGAACTCCATACCCCTGGTAAATCAAGTTCATATGACTCCAAAAGTGGCAAGGAGTCTGTTAATGCCACTGAGCTGTCACATGAAGAGCATCTATCTGTTCCAGTTGCTGATACGACTGAGTACATCCCAGTTGAAATATCAGCTGTTGATCCAGCCTCATCTGCGGTAGAAGATGTTGAAATAGATAAACATCCGATTACTAGCACTGAAATTCCAGTTATAGACAAGGCAGTTGTTGGTGAAGTTAATAAAAAGACCATAGACAGTGAGGAACCAACATCCAACACCAACAAAAGTAATGTTGATGTTGCTGAGGAAGTTTCAAAGAAGCAAATGGACATCAATAAGCCTACACCAGCTATTTCCAAAAGCATAGATCAGAAAGATGAAGAGGACGTTGATGATTGGCTGAAAGAAGATAGTACTGAAGGAGGTTCATTCAAGGGAACATCCTATCAAGTCGGAAACGACGATGATGTATCATTTAGTGACCTTGAGGAAGATGATGATGTTCCCACAAGCTATAAGAAATCTGGGAATGAAAATTCTTTTGCTAAAGAATCTAGTGATTGGATTCAGCTAAGCAGCCGATCATCTGATTCTTCCAAGGATAGTAATGCAAAGAGTGTAAATCGTTCTGGATCAAACACCGCGAATGCTCATAAGAACAAGGAATCTAATGACTGGCTAGATGTTGAAGATATTGATGATGCTTGATGTCAGTTACAATTCCATATTTTTATGGGTACTGTACTAGTGTGTACTATCCCTCCTTTTTAGTTGTCTGGTTTACTTGGTTTCCATGACTGTCTTATGTAAATATAATGTATTCTTAATTCACGAATTAGTTCTAATGGAATAATTTTCAACAGCTGTAAGAAATTGTCAATATGAATGCCGCTTGTATATCATAGCTCTCTCAGCCTGTCTCATCTACAGTTATTATTATCGAATTTATGTACCCGTTGCTCAAGAAAAATTAGCTAATAGATACTTGATTCTCAGTCAGCTCACTCCCTGGTGTATCATAGTAGCACAGACTATACCTTAAGTACGAGGTAAGAATTCACGGAGAGAAACTAATGCCAGTCAGTCGGTCGCATATAGCTGTTAAAAACTTTATGATGTATAATCTATTTGCATTATGTACAGGTTAACCAGAGAGGAGAAAATCCTCATATACTACTGTTACACTTACACCTTCCTAATAAGCAGAACCTATACTTGTTTATTTACAATTTACATGAGACTCTGGCTTGAGAGAACTTTCTTTATGACCAGATGGGTCCAAAATTGCCTGATATCCTCTCTAGTCGAGACCATAGAAAGCTACCAAGAGATAGTAAACTTGGCTTATCGTCCTTTACATTCGTGTTATTGTAGTTTCTGTTTTTGTTGGGTGATTTATCATGCAGCACAATTGTTCCACCAATCTCTTTTTCCATTGCTTCCACCATTTCTTTGCTTATCTTGAGCCCAGAAGCATCTGTAACATAAAATGTCCCGGTCGCCTTTTCACCTCTGGTGCCAATCTCAGCTCTTGTTACGGATAGCCCATTCTCCCGGAAAACCCTTGTTACATCTGACAGAAGTCCTGTTCTATCCTTGGCAGTAATATCTAACTTCAAGCCCTACATAAGAGAATCACATTCAATGTTAGTTACGTTTTTTAGACCAGTAATCATGTTCATTTGAGAAAAATGGAGGGAACTGATAGTCAGTCATACCTGTGTGCCTCTCCTTTCCACTGCAGCAATCAAGCATTGACTTACTTTGCGCCTCTCTTTTTCAGTGTTCAGTGTACATCCATCTTTGCGGCGTACATAATATTCCTGAGATGAGCACGCATGCATAGGTTAACATTCTCTTAAGTCCTGTGCAAGTATTCAAAAAGAACAGATAATGGGTACGCATTCACACCAATTTTCCGAAAAACTCAACAAGTAGGTTTTAAACACAATTCTAAGAGCAGAAGCTAAAGTTGATCCGAAAAATGGGCCTCAAATTGGACAAGATACTAGAGGTGACCTAAAACTGATAGACCGATGCAAAAAAAAATGACCAAGTATGCAGGAGAAGAGATTCACCTGAACTGCAATGGAGGAGTTGGAAGAAATGGCAGCATGAAACACCATGTACTGCATGTCAGTTAGAGCACAGACTGTGTCGAATAGCAACTTGGGACGATCTCTACATCTTATATTTACCACAGAATACCCCTTCTCTTTACAAGTATCTATTGATACATGATTACATTCACAGCTCATCTCACGAAGCCTCTCATACTTCATGCCTTTACCATCACATACACTACCCCCACAATTACAGCAAGTCGTGTAGTCCTCGTCAGCCAACATGAGTTGGTGGAGTCTCCTTTCGGTGTGGGTCTGAGTGGCAGCAGGGATTGTCCATCTCACGGTCTGTTTTTCACCGTTCTTATGATGAGCCTCCACGACAGACTGCAATTGTTCTTGTATATGAGAAAGGCGTTTCTGATCAGTGATTGGTCTGCCCATCTCCTGGTCATCCACGTAGATGATGCAAGCACCCCGGTGTTTATGGGTCCATGCAACACCAGCGCTGACATGACACCCCAGCTCAGCGAGCACAGCTGACACTTCAGACAGTAAGCCAGGCTGATCTGTCATAGTCATCTCCAAGGCTGTGTGCTCCATTACCACATGTCGAGGTCTCACCTCCCTCCCAGGGCATACTTGCTCCTCTTCTGAATTTCTCTTGGTACATACAGCCTTCAAAATTTCAACCACAGTTTATGTTACTCAAACTCTTCATTTTCCCTCGAGTACTCGTGACATAAACGTTAGAAATAACAGTAATATGTGAAATGTTAAAGAATAGTGTTGAGGAAAAAGAAAGGACCTTCTGAATGTACTGAATAAGAGCTTCATCAGTAATCTTGTTGCCAAATTGATCCGTCACGTGGAAAACTGAAAATCATGCAATAAAATTAAACCCACATGGATTAGCTCCAGAATCAATTTTTATTTTTATTCAGCTAGTGATCTTGTCTGGTTATTTATGGTCATAAAGTAGAAAGAGATAACGAAATTGACGTGAAATATAATACTAACCGTCCATAAACCATCCACCATCAGAGCAAATGTATGATTTGGAGATATAAAGGTCAAGATCAGTTAAGATTTGAACAACTTCTAGCAGAATCCCATGCTTGTTTGCACTATCAACCTGTGTTTCACAAAAAGCAATTAACTAAACACAACCTTATTCATATGATTCCCATCACAAGTAAATTTATACAATTGCTTTCAACATCCAACAAATAGTGACTACTTAATTTCTTATCCACACGTCCCCGGCCCATTACCTAACTTATACCTGAAGTCACATAAATCAGTTCAATCCAAACTAAGACTGACCAAACTTGAAAATTAATGTAACCAATATTGATTGAATTAGTAAGATAATGAACCTGATTATTCCCAATTTGATTAGTACTGAACTAACCTGAAACCAAACTGAATAACTCGACATACACTCCAACACGATCTAGACCCATTTGCCACCACTATCTAATTCCTTCGTCTAGGAAAGATTCTCTACTTCAATAATTCTAAAATGCAATCTAGTTTTTAGGAAGTTGTCATTTACAATGGTTTACTCGATTGTAATCCGTACAATCTGGAACATTTAGTCGTATACTATTAGCTATCATTCAATGATGACAAGGATTCCTTGTTCTATCAGCTCATGGTATTAAGAATTAATTAATCATTGTGATAATAATGACAACCTTCTTGCCGTCGTGGACTTCACTATATTTCTATATCCCTATAAATAATACTTGCACTAAATTAATAATCCAAGTAAAAATGTATGATGTTCAAGAAATAAATCATCCAGCGTTAACAGAATTTGACCCCAATAATTAGGAACAGTCTATTATTTTAAATAACACAATCAACATTTTATTTGAATGATATCTTAGTGGAACGGAAGAGTATGATGTATAAATAAATCGGCTAATTAGTCAATCACAAAGTAGTTGAAAATTCCATAGTGGTCGTACAAACCTTCACGACTTTACCACATTTAAATTATCGATTTATCTAGCTAAGATACTCGAAAACTTCAGCCACCAATCCATTCTACTACTATACTATACCAAATTATCACAACTAGCGTTTGATAAAGTAACACCACAAAGCTAATATAATGTGGTGTTTATTATTACAACTATAACTTAGATGAGGATTTCATAATTAATAGTTGAATACATTCAATAATTTAAATGGAATCTGACGTATGGTATCTCTTTTTGGTGGTTTCCAACTCTATTAATGGATACTATATAGAATCCATAATCATAGACCCACCAATTGGAATTTAATCAAGAACCATAATTAGATTAACAAATGCATATATTTCTAAAAATAAAAATCAAATAAAAATAGGCGGTGGCTCAAGAATGTCCAACCTTGATAAGGGTGCAATTTTTACAAGCATCGTTGTCAATACAAACCCTACAAAATCAAACCCACAAATTAAAAAACAGAATTTAAGTTTGAAAATTTAGAAACTTTAATCACAATTAATCTGCTAATAAATTTAGAAGCTTTAAAAAAAAAGCAAAAAAAAAAAACCTTGGAGGGTTGATACGTTCGATCAAAGATTCGAACGCTGGATTGTAGTAAGGCCTGTAATAGCAATATTGTTCCATTGATTTCTGACGCTTTTTATATTTCCTCTGTTTTTTTTCTTTCTTTATATAGTTTAGTTAAAAATTTCCCAGTAAACTATTTACTTCCAATTCAATTAAATCAAAACCCAGGAATTAAAAATGAAAAAGATGAAATCTTTAATGGGTTTGAATGAAAATGCAATGAGTTTGAAAAGAAGGTTAATAATGGAAGAAAAACAGAGTTGTAGGAAAAGAGGTGATTGATGACATAAAATTGAGAAGAGAGAGAAAGAAAGGAGGATGGATTTGTTGTAGCAAAAGGTCTGATATTGTTGGGAGATGGGAAGAAGAAAACAGAGGTTGAGAGGAGAGAGAAAATAAAAGGCAGGTGGAAGGAGAGATGTGGTTTATATATAGGAGTATACCATTATTTTTTTCTTAAGATTTGGATTTCCGAGAGTGAAGGGGAATCCAGTCAACTATGAAACGGCAAGTTGACCAAATTGGTGTGAAAAAAAAAAACCTTGTGCAATAGTTTGGTAAAAAAAATCACAGTCCACATTTGAGTAAATAAAAATATCCCCGACGTCATTTAGGCCAATAAATTGACAAAAGTTGACGGAAGTCAACGCGTATAGTTCAAACCTCATTTTGAAATTTATCTTTTTTCATAATTTATTTTTCACCCCCATTAACTCTCAACTCATTTGTTAATCTTCTAAAATAATAATAATAAAAATAAAAAACCATTCTTTTCGTTAATGGCCTCCCTTTTCCCCTCAGTCTCGTAGAATACCAAGTGTGAGGAAAGCCTTTCCATCTACATTGAAGTGATGACAAAAAAAAAAAAAAAAAAATCAATTTAAAGCACAAAGTCACCAAATAGTTGAAAACCCACAAAATTACTTTTACAATGAAGAAAGGTGAGTCTTTCTGGATTATTGTTATTACTTGCATGTGCAATCTAATTGATAAGTTAATTTCATACTTCCAAGTTCCAACCATTATTTTCAATTTAATTGAATAATTAAAGTGCAAATGGCAGTTTAGGTTGTGTATTTAATTTGAAATATTATATGTTAAAATTGTTTTTTAGGATTTTAGTTTTTATATGTTGCTAAAGTTAAAGAATTATAAATATAAAATTACCAAAGTCTTAGTAAACATTGTATGTATTTTTCAAAAAAAAAAGAAAAGGTGTTGATTCTATTTTTATGTCATGACATGTTGATGAGTGGTGCTGATACTTGTTGATACTACTTGTCGTATTTTCTTATGTAGATGCATAATGATAGATATGAGGTTGCTAGTACAGATGAATTTTTGTCAAATCTTAATCAACCTCCAAAAACAGTAGCAAAATTGACTCCGAGAGAGGGTAAGAAGCAATCAACATCTCTACACTCTAATGAGATTAATCCAAAAAATGTTGCCCCTGTACGTCATTGTCTTGAGCTACAACATGTCCCACCTCCAGTTTCACCTATTTTTGAAGATGATATCACATCATCTTTTGATGATGACTCGGTTGAGGATGAAAATTATAAAATTGATCCTAGAGAACTGAAGGAGATTGTTGGAACAACAAGTGTGTAGTGTGTGAATTTTGTGAAAAAACTCAAAGTCCCACATTGGTGGGAAATGAGAGTTTTACTCTCTTTATAATATAGAGAGTGGGCTAAAGGGGTGTGGCCCTTGGGCTACCCACATTTTGTGGAGAGGGAGGACCTATATGGTAAACCATATATCACACACGCGCGCGCCGAACCGGGCCGGGCTAGGTCGGGTTTGGGTTATTAAACAAACTTAATTTTTGTTACCGGTTTGATTAATATTCAGTTACAAAACGTTTTACTGTTTTGGTTTACATTTTTTCCGTTACATTGCTTGATTCTCGTTGCTGTTTTACTGCTAAACGTTGCACCGTTACACTGATTTAACGCCTTGATTCTTGCTTAACGGATACACTAATTGCAGTAAACGTTGCTAATCTTTCTCCCGTTTTCATGCTTAAGCTGTTACGTATCTTTACCTATAAAAGAACGGTTCCAGCTTTGTTTTTAAATACACGAAAAAAATACAGAAAACCACTTTGCAAAATATATTTTCTCTTCCTCTCAAAACAGTCGAGCAGTTTCTTTCTGATTTTCTGGTGTTCCGTTGTCCAGTGGTTCGGTGCAAAACCGCCGGTATTTTATACTTGTGAAAGACTGTTTTATCCTGGGGGCATCTGGTTTGGTACGAGCTGCTTGCACAAGTTTGAGGCAGTGCCGCGAATGTTCTAAAGAGAGCGACATAGTCCGCGACTCAGTCTTATTCTCGGTAACATTATTCTTACTATTTTATTTGTGCAATTCCGTTTATAACAGAGACATATGTAAAGGAAGGACAATGTAGCAAAACTAGTAAGGCAAAAAAGGCTGGTGGAACACAACCAAGTGAACACTTGAACCAGGAAAATGAGGAGGGTGGAGAAGATGTAAATGAGGAATATCATTATGATTCTGAGGATTCAATTCTATGGGATGATATTCTAGGTAAGGAGTTAGTATATGATGATGATGAAATGATTGCAATTAGAGGAGAAGTGCTTGAAACGAGAAGGGTTCAATTAGCCTCTAAATGGCCTGATAATGATACCCCGATGATTTATAACTTTGAGGATATTAATCCACAAGTTGAAGGGGTTAATGAAACAATCGGTGATGAGAACATACAAGCTACAAATGAACGTGGACATTTGACAGGAGAAAATGGGAAGTGGCCAACCTACTGGACAACCTTTGAAGGGGATATGAATCAGATCAAAGAGATTCAGATTCACTATCATTTTCTGAAGACGAAGATAAGAATGATACTCATGTTCAAAAGAGAAGAAAGAAGGTTGTTTATCCAACATTCAATGAGAAGATAGACAAGAAAGAAGGTTGTTTGTTGGACTGAGATTCGCTTCAAGAGATATTTTTAACGAAGCTATTCTTACATAAATTCAACAACACAAAGACTTGGTTTACCTTAAAAATAATAAAAGGTTTATCAGTGTAGGTTGTACAAATTGTAGGTGGGAAATCACCTCCAGCCCTGACCTTGAAGACCATACAGGATGGCGAATCAAGTCAATGCAACCAGTTCATGAATGGTGCACAAGGACTTTTGAAAACAGGCTTATAACTATGGATTGGTTAGCTAAGGAATATTTAGACAAAATACTGAGAAATCCTCTTATTAAGGCTGACATGAGAGCAAGATATGACATTGTTGTTGGCATAAGACAATGTCAAAGAGCGAAAGGAATAGCTCTAAATGCTGTGCAAAGTTTAATGAATAAACAATATGGTATTTTAAAGCCATACCTGAATGAATTGGTGAAATCAAATCCACTTGCGTTTAGAAAACTATTGAAGGTGAACCTGGACAGCCAAAACAGTTTCTCAGGTTTTGTTTGTGTTTCGGTGCATTGAAGAAGAGCTTCATAGAGACTTGTAGACCTGTTATCGGAGTCGATGGATGTTTTCTAAAGCATGTTTGTGGGGGACAATTACTATGTGCAGTTGGGAGGGATGGAAATAACCATATGTTTCCCATTGGATGGGCGGTAGTTGAGAGGGAAACTACCAGCAGTTGGGACTGGTTCTTGAAGCTAATTTCTCAGGACTTAAAAATGGAAGAAGGTGACAGTTGGACGATAATTTCTGACCAACAAAAGGTATGTCAATTAAACCTTTTTCAGTTGCATTTTTTTTATGGAAACATAAGATTTATAACTTAAACTCATTTACAGGGGGGCTGGTGAATGCAATACACAACATTTGGCCGAATATCGAACATAGACAATGTGCGAGGCACATATACACTAATTGGAGGAAGAAGCATAAGGGGAAGCAACTGGAGAAACAATTTTGGAAATGTGTCAAATCAACAAGCTCTAGTGAGTACGAAACTCAGTTGGCTAAATTGAAGTTAATGTTAAAACAAGCACATTTGGATTTTGAAGCAAGAAATCCTGAAACGTTTTGCAAGTCCAAATTCAAAACTCATTCTTCTTGTGATGTAGCTGACAATAATATGGCAGGAACCTTTAATAGTTTAATTCTATTAGCTAGGTATAATAAACCCGTAGTAACTATGCTAGAGGATATTAGGCTTGCACTAAACGGCGTATAATAATTATTACATGATGGAAGGATGCAATGCACGGTTTTTTCGATTTTTAATTATTTGATTTATTATATTTAATAATTTCAGACAAAATTACATAAGTTTAATATATTTTTTTTACTATAATTTATAAAGAATTTATTAAATATAAATAAATTATAAATATGATATTTTTTCCGTTATATAAAATCTTTAGTGTGAAATGATAAATTTTTAATAATTTAAATCCTAAATCATTATTCATTGTTTTACCCTATCTTTTATTTCGGTACATCAATGGATAAATTGAACCGTGAAATGTTAGCCAAACTGAAATTGATATAAATTAATTATTTACATTTATATAAAATAAATCATTATATTTACCAATAAATGAAAATTTGTTGCGATATAAAATCAAATCTATGCATTGGAATTTTTTCATCACCTCCAACAATAACTAAACCCATCCATATATTAAGTATACAACATCTAATCATATGCCATTACATAAACAAATAACCGTTAAATATCTTAAATAAATACAAAGTAACTAATAATTACAAATATAAATTTAAACATAAGATTTTAAAAATTAACCGGACATTGATGACCAAAAACTAATACAAAATTACTAACACAAAATTCGCTTGATGGAGTTTTGTATTGATACGAAATTTTATTTAAGTCGTATGATGTGTTAGATATGCATGTAAAAAATATTTAGTAAATAAAACATAAACATATAATCGTTGAGTATCCCAAATTAATAAGTGTAAATAATAATTAGAAATACTAATTGAAACATAGGATTTTAAAAATTAAGTTAAAAATTACCCAGCCATTGATGACCAAAAATTAACACGAAATTACTGACACAAAATTCGCTTGATGGGGTTTTTTATTGATACGAAATTTTGTTTGTGTCGTATGATGTGTCAATGTATAATGGTAGGTATCACAAATTTTAATTTAATTATAATTAACGAACAATTTGTATTTCTTATCATAAATACTATCAAAATTTATCTTATAATGATAAATATCAAACTTTATTATAAACGTATATCATTTAAATATTTTTTTTGGATTTCTTATACCCGTAATATTGAATTAATAAATTTATCTTTTCCTATATTGTTACTTTATTTTTTTCATTAAAATAATTTAATTCGTGGATTATAATTTACGTGGCATTAAAATTTAGATATATCAAATCTAATTCCTTACTTATATCTAGGTGGCGACATAATTTTTTAATTCAAAAATAAAATACATATATTTCTTCTTATTGGTCGAAATAAGTATATTTCTTATATGGCGCGGCGAATGCTCTCCAAAAATGACTACTTTTTATATATATATATATATAAAGATTTTTTTTTTGTTTTTTTTTTGGGAAAGTCATCATCAGTTGTTTAATTATCACAATTTCCAGATTTTGGAGCACCGCAGAAAATATGTACAAGTACGGAGTAGAAATTATAGACATTCAAAAAAAAAAAAAAAAGATTTTGTTAAGAAATAAAACAGATCTTGTATCAGACATTCAGACGCAATCCACTAGCATCACTGCATCAAATACTATCCACCTACAAAAATATACAATATACAGTACAATGTATTTTGATATTTCAGTTTTTTAAAGTATAATACGAAGTATTTTTGTTTTTTGAAATAAAGTATAGTTAATATGAGATTGAAATAATAAAATGTAGTATAAGGGCGTATTTGACGGTAGCTTTTGAGTAGATTTTAGGTAGCCTTTAGTGGTGGAAGTAGCTTTTATCAAAAGTTAAAAATATTAGCTTTTGAAGTTAACGGTAGTTGTTGAAAATTTAATCTATAATTTTAGGAAAAAAATATATTGATTTTTATATATAACAACTAGTCAACCCGTACTTTAACGAACACTCGTATCTAAATTAACTATCTTCACATGTAATAGTTTGTTGATAGCGAACAGCTACCTTCACAGCTATATTTTGCCGAACACACCATAAGTGACTTGGTAAGAGAAAAATAATAAAATGTTTGTGAAAATGGGGTTAGTAAGAGAGATAATTAATAAAATAACAATAGGTGTTTAGAGCATCTACAATGGTTAGTGACAAGAGATGTAGCTTTGGCTTACCATTAGAGAGAGTTAATCAATTTTTAAAGCTAAGAGGCTACTTCTCCTATTGCTATATGATTTTGGGATGAAATCTCCTTTAAACTTGTGAAGTGGATGCTGTCTCACCAAATAAAAAAGGGATGAAATATTACTCCGTATTATTTTAACTCCTTATACGAGTATTATTATTTCCGTGTATTTGTCAGAGCTTAGAATTTAGGAAATTTGGTTTAGCTGAGAGAGGTTTCGCCTTCTTTTCCACACAACCCCAAGACGACTCTGCAAACTTTCCATTAATCCTGTACCGCATTTTCTGCTCATTTTCCCTCTTTCTTTCCAGGTTTTACCCCTTCTATCCCTTTTAGTTTGTTTAATTGTTGCAATTTGACAGTTTCAAGATTATGATGATTTCACTATTAACAATAATCCGCTAGAAATTATCAACAATAATCCCGAAACCCTGGTTTTATTTTTGATTTGTTTGAATGGATTTGCTATTGGTGAATAAGGGTTTTGAATTCACGCGTAAAAAGAAGAAATGGGTTCTTCTTTTAGCAGCTTTTGGGGTAACTGGGTATGGTGCTTATAGGGTTTATAATTCTCCATCTGTTGCTAGAAAAAGGAAGAAATTTGTGAAATTATGTAGTGCCCTTGTTTCTATCATTGTTGCTGTTTCTGATTCTGCTGAGACTATTGGGATTCTTTCTAAAGATTTAAGGGAATTTCTTCAGTCAGATTCTGATGATATTCCCAATAGTTTGAAGCAGATCTCAAAATTAGCCCAATCAGATGATTTCTCTGATTCTGTTGTTAGGATTACTGCTGCTTTGACAAGGGGGGTTTTTAGGGGTTATCAGGCAGAATATACCACTAATGATACTTCTAAGGGTGAATCAAATTCGGGTTTTTATGACCGATTTATGGATAAACTGTTATCGGAATCTGGCTCTGGGTTTGCTTCTGTGGTTATTGGTAGTTTTGCCAGAAATTTGGTGACTGCATTCTATTCAATTGATGAAGAGTCTGCTAGAGAATTGAATTCGGGTGTGAAGAAAAATGCTGATGGTTCGGTGTTAAATGAGGCACCGTTGCCTAGATGGGTCGATGCAATGTGTAGTGATCGTTGCAGGGATCTCTTTGGTGAATGCATAGAGAAGTTTGTTAGCACTGCTGTGGCGGTTTATCTTGACAAAACTATGAATGTTAACACCTATGATGAGTTGTTTGCTGGATTGACGAATCCAAAGCATAATAAACAAGTGAGAGATTTGTTGGTGACGGTATGCAATGGTTCGATTGAAACCTTGGTTAAGACATCTCACCAGGTTCTAACAAGTCCAGAATCTGGTGAAAAAGTGGGGTCTGATTCTTCTTCTTCTTCTGTATCTCGGTTTGTTGTGACACGCTCCAATTCAGATGTGGTGTCGAAGACTTTATGTTCTATGATTGATGATGCCCATAATGTGATCAGTGTTAAACAGAATGAACTTGGACGAGGAAAGTTTAATGATTCAAAGGAAAGTAGGAAGTCATCTAGTGGTAGTTGGATGTCAACAATGTCTTCAACCTTGGCTGAGCCGAGCAATAGAAAACTTGTCCTTGATGTTACTGGCAGAGTGACATTTGAGACTGTGAGATCATTCCTGGAGTTTTTGCTTGGGAGGTTGTTTTCCAGCGTGAAAAGAAGTGTCCGTGCTGTGAATAGTGCTATCATCGACACTGGTCATCATGTTGTGAGATATGTTACGGCAAAATCTTATATTGTTGCTACTATATGTATCTCACTGTGCTTACATATACTGGGCGGCCCTTGGCAATTGATGCCTGCTTGAGTTAGTAAGTCTCTTCCTTGTCAATTAAAATTCCTCGTAGCATATGCCTCTATTGTACTTTGTAACGTTTTTCATTTGATTATTTCCAAGTTCATGAATGTTTTATTCTACCTTGGTAACAAAACATTATTGTCAGTATTTTCCAGTGTGCTATATGTTTAACTGACCTTGATGTAAATCTTGATGTATATATGAGCTATAAATTCTGGAAATTTGTGTAGTACTTTTTGTAAAACTTTTTACTTTTGATTTGCAATTGATATAAGATTCTCATTTGTGCATTATATCTACAAGACTGTAATCTCGGTATCATTTTATTATGTTCAATATTATAGCATTCTATTGGTATAATGTATAAATAATTCTCTCTATATGGCGGGGTTTGAATTTTACTCCGAGGTATCGAATCCTAATGTCATTGGATTTCCAGGTTGGGTTATGAATATGCCTCCAAAGGTTGAACAGATATTTGTCCCCAAATGCCTAAATCTGACAATCCTACTTGAAGTTTGCGGTTGAATTGTGCAAGCAGTCTAGCTTGATCCACCTGAACTCACTCAATTTGTGTGATGCTCGCTCATTCAAGAATAAGCAGAAAATTGATGATGCTGAAGCCCCTGCTTTGAAATCCTACATTTTTTGGATTCTCCTAAGCTCTTTTGTGTCAAAACCAGCCTTCAGTCTTTGTGTATTGCTGTCTTAGTGCACTGCTTTAATTTTTTAGAAGTTTAGCATGAGTTATTAGAGTGGAATGTTTCAAATGGAGTACCACAACAAACACGGTAAGGCATATGTAAAAAACTACATAACATTAGGCTTACAAGGCACGAGTCAGCAGAGTATGGATGACATTGGTGGTTGACTAGGAATTTCTCAAAGAACACTGTCCCTGTAGTTTTAGAAATTGGGCTGATTCCCTCCACCACAGTATCAGCTTTTGACTCCAGAATGCTTTGGATTGCAGAATGTCTCCTTTTGAGGACCTGAGAAACTGAATATACGTTCACAATTCTTTCTCCTATCTCCATGACTGAGAAGCAAAATATGATCAAACTACGAACATAGCAAGGGGGGATTTGCTGATGACATTGACTTGCTGATAATGGTTGAGCATGGCAGATAGGTTACATGGTTTTCTATTGCTTGGCAAAAGCTGTGCAATGGAAGCAGGATTAAGCATTAGAATTACTTAAAAGTGTCACGGTTGCAGAAACTGAAGCAAAACTCCTAGCAAAGTTAGTGGACACTGGACAGCATCTTAGCATAGCTAAATTTTTAGCTAAAGTATGGCTGATAAGTGTTCAATGTATCACCACTCGAATTAATAGATGTGAGAAATGTGATCTGATTCATTGAAGTCTAACTGGTCAAATCTTTCTTTTTTGTCCACTAAGTTTTACATTACTTGTAACAGGCAGTAAATATATAGGCATATAAAACCTGTAGATGCCAGAATTATGTGCTTGTAGTTTCGAATATTTGGATAGAACTTCTGAATATCATCCTGTTGTTGAGATTTGAATCGAGATTGTCATTTGTCCATCTTATATGCAGTATTGGTAATTTGGTATAGCTGTTTTTATAGAGCATATTCAGCTCATTTCCGTTCATATGTTTGAGAGTTTGCCAGGGAAAAACCACCTTGGGAAGACTTCGTGGACGAGGCACGAATGTGTGCCTTGCAATCCGTTAATTCTATCATTATACTTCGTGGCATAACGTACAGCTCTAAAGATAGTGGTGCTTGAGCTTGACCATATGCAATTAGCCAATTATGCAGGGTTGTGGCCTTGTGGGTTCAACAAGTGAAAGTGGATTGGACTTCAGCAGTTCAATTGTGTTTATTTGCTTTTTTTTTTTGGTCTCATTCTGAAAGTGGGCTGGTGTTTTCTCATATTTCCTGGCCTTTAGCATGTTTACGTTATTGTTGTTATTTTGTTTAGTGTGCTAACCTAAAACCCATCCTACCGGCCCAAGTTTCAGATATTCCAACACATTCAACACAATGTATTTTCAAAGAGCATTATATCACCGGGTCAGCGGGTTGTGCATAAAACTGGACAAGTCGTATCGTACTGTGCTATGCCAATCTTCTATCATTAAGAATGTAAGATTCACAGTCTCTAACTTATACGTTATATTGTGTCGAATCATGTCTTGCTAGTGACCCCTTAAATAATTTTAAGAAATGTACCCCACAAAGCCATAAACAGTTGGGTAGTACATTGTATATGTTTTTTTTTTTTGTATGCTGAGACAGAATTAATAGCAAACGAGTGCGTCCATCATAAACACGTTTCAAATTTTGCTGATTATAAAAGAAAATTAGAAAAAGGAACTTTGAAAGTTTGAAACACTATTAATATCATGAAAAAGGCTCTTTTGTTATTGCACATCAATAGCCGCCGGAAAATTGGCCTCTAGCAACTTTATCTAGGAGAAACCGTTGCTTCCGTGACCAAAATCACCTCTTTAAAAGTGCAGCATACTATTTTGTGGATAAAGGTACAAGTTGTTGGTTGTTGAAAATTTTATCCATGATAGTTACTTTTTTTTTTTTTTTTTTTTTTTTTTGAAGGAATGATAGTTACTCTGGTTGATTGTTAATAGTATCCTATTTTTTCATTCAACTTATAATAAAGTGCTAGTGTGCTACAAATCATACGTGGGCAGAATACAAGGCTACCTAATTCAATTCATAAAGATTATACTTTTATTTGATTTTGAAATCAAATGACCCTTTTTGACGAAATTGATATTATATACGGAGTAGTAGATTTTCAAATAATTTATTCAACTGCATTTCTACATAACATTAGGTCTTCCATCTCCTTAGGACTAGGCCACTAATTAACAATGGGGCATGCATGATCCTCATCTACCTTGATGCAATGCTAATATTCGATACTCCATATACAAACTCAGATGTATTCCCTTCATTCTTTAAAGATTATTTATTTCTTTTATATCACTTTATAAAATTTGAATTAATACTGTCATTCTAAAAAATTGATTTGAATAATTGAGTGAATAGCAACGAATTCTTTTCAATTTATTTCAATTACTTACGGTGTATCATTTATACTTGTCTAAATTAAATAAAGTTGTGTCACATACAATGATATAAGTACACCATAACTTCTTATATTTGTCTTTAATAACAAAATGTATGGTAGGAAATATGGTATAGAGAAATTGTGGTGATCGACCATATGATTTATAATAAATAAATTAGGTAAACATAAGTAAACTAAAAATAAAATTAGGGCAATTTTCTTACACCACTTGATGCACCAAATTATTGTTACTTATGAAGTAAAAAAAAGGGGTAAACACAAAATTGGATGAATATCATGTAAGCAATAGTCTTTAATTATTAAATTGGGACAGTAGTCAACCAATCATTGGGCCTTAGATACTTTGCTTTCTGACCGACCATATCAATGGTGGGGGCCTAATCTTCATTTTACCACTTTATTGCATGGTGCATCACTTTTTTCTTATATGTCGTCTTTAAAAGTTTATAATATTAATTCAATGATCATTAAATTTCACATATTCAATTCCATCCCTCTTATATATAGCTCCTCACATATGTGAAGGAGTATAATGTCCTTTCCCCTCTTCAAAAGAGATGTTGGATTAATCCGATTATAAATAAACGAGCTATTTTTTCGGTTTACTTCTAATTAGTAAGTCGCATGTGATTGGTCATTTTTTACTCGAAAAGATATGTAACAAGTAGTTAAGTGGGTATAGTAATTGAATAAAGCTAAGCATATGAAGTAAAAAAGCATTAGCACGCGAGACCAAAAGTTTTTGCTAATTATAAACCAAACACCAACTTTAATTCATCTTTACAAGAGAACAATTCCATATTTGGAGTAACAAATAAAAAACCGCACCCCGCCCAATCAAATAATAATAATAATAATATAAGATCATCCGAAAAACTACACTAATCTCTTAAAATCTACATAGATTGAGAGAATATATAGATCGATCAAACATCTAATTCATAATATATAGCTGCCTCGTATAATTAATCACCCTTGTTTGTCCAATTTTATTTATTAGTACGGGCGTTCATCATATATCTATATATATATATATATATATATATATATATATTATTTATTAATTTATATATCGATATAGATGATTTGCGTAGCCTTAATAGTGGAGGATTTTTTTTTTGTATGTACTTAATTATAGTGAAGTAATATAATACGCTGATTAATTAATTATTTGATTCGATATATTTGCATGGTCGTGCATTAAGTTGCTGGCCGTTGAGAACGAACATTGTTGTTGTTGAAGTTGCTGAAGTTTCCAAATATTGCTGAGATGCATTAATTTCCTTTGGAGTATGAATGATTCGGCTTTGAGCCGTTCATTTTCTCTCCTTACAAGTTGAATTTGATGGGTCATTAACCGCAGATGGTTCGACCGCTCCCGAGTTTGGATTTTAAGTTCGTTCGCATTGTTCCTTAGATTTTCTAGGTGTTTTTGTTTCCGCATCCGGGACCGTCTTGCTGATTCCCGGTTCGATAGCATCCGCTTGCGCTTTCGTTCATCAATGTTGCTCTCAGCTTTGACCGGATCATCGAGACACGTACGTCGATTTGGGTTCTGGTTTGGATCATCGGAACCTGAACCTGAACTTGAGTTGACAGGGTTTGAGTTTTGGTTTGGTTGATCCTGATCAGGGCTCAATTCTTCATAACTAGGGGATCTTTGGTTTGGACGTTCTGAACCTAAATCGGTACCAACATGGTAAGGACCTAGGTCAAGTTCGTCAAAAGGAGGTGATTGTTGGGTTGGGCTTTCAAAATCGGCATGGTATTGACTTAAGTTAAGTTGGTCAAAACAAGTTGTATTTGTGCTTTGACTTTCTGAGCCTAAGTCTGAACTAATATGGCAACTACCTAGATTTGTATTATCAAAACTAGGCAATAAATTGTTTGAAAATTCCGAACCTAAGCCTGATCCAGTATGGTAACAACTTAGGTTTGGATGTTCCGAACCTAAGTCTGATCCGACATGGTAACAACTTAGGTTAGGACGTTCCGAAGTTAGACCAAAACCGGCATGGTAACAGCTTAGGTTGGACTTATTATTACTAGACTTGGGTTTATTTGAATCAGTAGGTTTATGAAGAGTGGAAGTAAAAAAAGATTCGAGATTATCCCACGGGGTGAAACCGCCGTTAAAGACAAACAAGGGGTTACTACTACTATTGCTAAAGACGGGTTCAGAGGGGAGAACGGTGGACATCATGGCTGAGAAATAGCTTATAGGTAGGGGGTAGAATGAAAGAAGAGGAAAAGGGGAGAAAGGAATTGTAAGGGAGGATTATTTATGGGCGAAGCCAAGCACCCAAAAAAGCTAAAGTTTTGATCGTGGGTTCCACAATGTGAGGAAAAATAAAGGGCAATTTGGTCATAAGATTACTTTTGAATCAAGTGGCACTTAGAGGCTAAAAGTGGGGCCGGTCATAAATCACAATTACCATCTGCTTTAATTAGCTTACTCATGAAGGAACGGGTAAAGTGGGCCATTAATTTTTCACGTGTCGGAAAATGATTGGTTACTCGTGTGAGAAGCCAAATAGCTTGGAAAATTGCTTACCAATTTACGATAAATATATTTCATTTGTATTAACTCGTCGGCTTGTTACGGCTAGCATTAGCCATTTTATGACTAACAATAAAAGCTTATGGCTCGGCTTGGCTCTGGCTCCTTAGCTTTTAGATAATTAGTTTTTATCATCAATCATTTGGCTTCTTAGCTTTTGCACTATTTTGTTTTTTAAAAAATGATGCCCTCATTTTGGGCTTTTTAAAAATTTTATTTTATTTTATTTATTTTTTTTTTTTTTTTTTGTAATGCTATATGTAGTTATAAGGGTTATAAATAAGCATACACTATCTTTTCTTTTTTGTATAAGTTTAGAAATGCATTTCAAAATTACGCGTAAATCAGTGTAATTAATGAATATATTTCATTAATATTTTCCTCTTTTAGCTCCTTATAGCATTTTCCTTGTTTTTTTTTATTACATGCTATAAAATTTTATACTAATGTCACGAATCACGATTGATTGATTGCTGAAATTTTTGATATAATGAATTTAACGTAAATGCTTACGTATTGCTATACCTCAAGCCCAATTATTAAATGAAAGGTAGACTTATAAATTATAATTGATCGAAGACAAAGTTTACTCAGATCAGCTATCTCGTCGTGTGCTCATATTGTCATGCATACGAGATGTCACTACTTATTTTTTTTATACTTCATGATATAGATTAATCCAACGGATAATTAGATAAGTAATCAATTAATCATCTAAATATAAAACTATATATGTATGTATGTCAAAGTTTTTTTGAGGAATAAGACATTGATCACCACATAGAATGTTTTCATTGAAAATAAGATTTTTTTGTTGATATTGTTTAATGGGATTCATGAAGTGTTTATCAATAGATAAAATAATTTTTTTAAAAACATTCATGCTTATTATTCAATATTACGGAGTATCATTAATTTAGTCTAGGCTAACTAATGCGGTTCGGATGAAGAAGGTATTTTATGAGGAGGTAATTATGTGTTAGTACATTAGTATATATCATAGATAAATCGTGTTCGTTTGTCAACAACATTTGTATTACTTTTATGATATACTTACTATATACTTGTATATTTGTATATAATAACTTTAAATCTTAAGTATAATCAAAGTATATTGGACTTTTATAGCATGCATCAAAAATATATATATGTGAGAAAGTGAAAGCAACTAAATTTTGAAAGAATTTCTCTAGGGATGTTAGTAAATATCTTGATTCCAAAGTATATTGAAGGCAAAGGGATAATAAAAGATTAAAAGTAGAAGAATCAAGCTAAGCTAGCTAAGATATATAATTCTTTGAGGAAGTTACACTTCAAACACTTTGCCCCTATCCTTGCCCCTATATATATTCCAAGAATAGTTTTATGTCGCTTCGCTTACTTTGCCTGGCATACTACATATTAGTACTTGTATATTGTAAGCTTTGTCAAAATTTTACGTCTAAACGCATGGTATCAAACATGTTGTTTTTCTTTATTTCTTAATGTTCTTCTTGAACCAGATCAGAGATGAAATCATGTATCTCTACTTACAAATATTGCTTAATGTATGTATAACGCTTTGTACAATAGAAGCTAAGTTTTTAAAGATGTCGATAACATTAGAAGCTAAGATGTCGATGGTGTATGGTGGAACTACTTTAATAAACAGAATATGCGGATCAACTGAGGAAAAAGATCAAAAGAACGAAACCCTTTATTATATTTTGGTATACCACTTCATAAACAATAGCCAGTAAAGTTAATGAATCATCATCGATCACAATCGCGAAAAATCGACTCACATCATACAACCCTGTAGAGGGTTAGAGGGTTGTATATATGCATGTTAGCTTCAATCTTAACACTGTATGTGAATATATAAAGTGATGAAGGAATCGACAGGCGAAGATGCACATATATATCAATAATGAAGAAATCAAGACTCAAGAGACATGTATAGTAGTAAAGAAGAGATGAATGAACCAAAAAAGAAAAGCAAAGGTAAGGTTGAAAAAGATGTGAAGAACGAGTTATAAACAAACACATAAACGATCGAAATGTAGGGAAGCTAGATAAATTGGTCAGCATGAGGCCGACATGCATATAAAAGAGCCAACTACCAAATATTATTTGAACTTTGTTTTTTTTTTTTTAAGTCTAAAGATAAAGTAAATAACACATTATGCTATATAAAGTAAAAATAACATATGCATGATCATGTATTCATGCATCTCCCCTAGCTTGTTTCTCTACATTTAGTAACTTAATTCATTATTTGTCATTCTTTTTCTTCATCGTCTTTGTAGATTATTGTAGGTATGGAGCTACATACTTGATCTATATCAATTCTAAAGCTTATGTTTAGTCAAATTGCTGACATAGTTGACTATAACTAGCTCAGTAATTCATTTAAGGTTTGAAATTTAGTGTGAAAGGCCCCTTAGATAGCCCACAAATTCATTAGATAATAACCTCCTTCAAACTGTTATTTATTTATTAAACACAAATTCTTATATGTGGCTGACCACGCGGTGTGGCCAGTCATTATAGGGGTTACTTCGTGAGTGTTATAGGGTTACCAGCCCCGATCAGTATTCAGCAGGGGTTACTTCATCAGTGTTATAGGGGTTACTCAATCAGTGTTAAAGGGCTTACTCGGCCAGTGTTTTAGGGGTTACTTTGTTATTTTACAAGCGGTCATACGATGCGATCAGCCGCACACAAGACATGCTGTTTATTAAACACTAACGATTTTATTTAAAACAAATTAAAATTTTAACATTGAAATTGAATATGTGTTCCAAAATGGTTAAGATCGGCTAAACACCGTACGTATGTGCAAAGTGAAGCAAGTTTAATTAGTGAAGAAATAAAATACTATGGGAAAGGATAGCGCCACTAGTCATCCATACTTCTACTCTAAGTTCCAACATAAATGGAGGGTGTTGAGTTGACTTCAATGGTTTACCAAATTAGCAAATAGGTCATCTTACTAGCAATTCTTCTAATAACATTTTTACAGTCGCAATTACAATACCTACTAGCTCGCTCTTTCTTAAAATGGTATTGCCTAAAGAAATTACTAGCGTCGTATACTTTAAATTTGAACACAAACTCTTAATTACGAAGAAATTACCAAATAGAGCGATGATCCAAGTGGCTAATAACATATGCAACGTGGAGCATAAGTATAAAATGTTAATGATTTGTGGAGGATTGCGTAGAATTAAATAGTGGTGGAAGACTCTCCCTTGTTGCTTTATAATTTCTGTCCTTTAAGAGCGCAATGTTCACACTTGATAGAGAATAGTTAGTTAGTTGTAGTAGAGTATAACTTTAAGAAACTGGTACAAACAATAATCTTAACAAGGCAAATACAAAAGCAAAACACTCCATGTGAAAGATGCCCTTGTTTCGTGATTGAGATTCAAAGTAGTTCTTTAAAGCTGTTACTAATACAGGTGTGTTCTTTCTGTTTAACCGTTACTTTTTCCTTAGTAGAGACCGCTAACAGTATTATTTTTTTTCCCCTTTTCTAATAAAATTTTCTAGACTCAAATCAAATTTTTACAAGTGTGGACCAACTCGAAATCTCGAATGCTCGATCTTTATATATTGGCATTCGGCAACCATTATTGCGTTATGTTTTATTTTCAGGTTTATCAATTTTAGTATTCCATATATATTTTATAGATGTCAACTATATTAGTTGGTTAAATTTGTTAAAAATGGTATTCTAACTATAAGATCGAAAAATTAGTTTCAAGATTTTTTGTAATTACGTTGTGCTTCAATTAGTTTATTTTACTAGCTTGTAGTTTGTTTTACTCAGCTATATTTTGTAGGTAAATTAGCCCTAGAATTTATTGATGCGTATTTTTATGGGCTCCACTAAAATTCCGACCTTAAATGGATTGTAGTTTTAGACTTTGCACAATTTTGGGGTAAAGGGACTAAATCTAAAGGATATGGAACAATTAAATCTAAGCAAGATCAAATTGTAACTAGGATATGGAGTTATTTAATCTAACCAAGACTAAATAACAACTAAATTGGTAGCTTTCTCAGCAAAATATCATATACAATTCTCTTGCTAAAAACAATTCATACGAATTGATCAATTGTAACTCAAAACTTCTCTGCCTTCATTAATGAAAATAAAGAATATTTATAGGCAAACATCCCATGCCGTTAGGATAACTAAAAGATAAAATAAAATATATAAGATATAAATACTAAATACTAATCCTAGATAACAAAATTTATCCTCTAATAAAATTAGAAAATAATATCTTATCAAACTACTAATTCTACTCCAACTCTAATTCGATTAATCACGCGTAATTTTAGGATTGACGCCATTCAACCTCATGATTAATAGACGACTCAAAAAAAATAAATAAAACTAATAAAATGATGATATTGATGCCTTGAATACGCATCATTTAACTTAAATTATTAATTTTCAATTTCAGTAACTTTACCCCTCTTCAACTAACTTATACAATATTTTCTATAATAAATAAATAAAAAGAAAAAAAAAAACTAACTTATAATATTTGGCAGGGACACCAAACTGTTTGAAATCAACTTTCTTTCCATCTTTGAATCTACTTCTAATCTTTATCTAATTTTTTTATAACCATCTTTATCTAATCACTTTGCCTAAAATTGTTTGAGCTTATATTTTCTAAAAAAACTTAATTCCATTATAACACAACTACAGAGTAACTTATATGCAAATGTGTGTAGAATTAAACTTATTTTGCCTGAAATAAGT